CCGTGACTTGTCAATCGCGTTTGTGGGCGCCTGGGTCACTTGAGTGTCCGGAGAGTTGCCATGGTGACAGCGGGAGGATTCCCAGAGTAGGGCTGGGTCCCTCCCTCCTGCACACGCAGGGGATGGATGCCTGCGAACGGTGCTTGCTTCCTCCACGGTGGTGGGTGTGTGGGTAACGGAGAGGGCACGGCTGAGCTCACCTCTGCAGATGTAAACAATGAGACTGGAGCACCTGCTCTGGAATAGAGCACCACCACGGGGAGCCTAACGGCGGCCACCGTTGGCCTTTGGTCTCCTACCGGGGGATTGCTGGCGACACTGTCTTTGTAGCGGGGCATGCTATCAAAACGGGGGCTAGCTGACCTTGACTGCAGGGTGTGCTTTGAAGGAGACTTTTCTAGGGATACTTTGCAGGTCTGGCAGTGTAGAGGACGTCTGACAGACGCTTGTGTCTTTTTTGGGGTTAGTGTTTGATTCCTACTGTGTGGCTCATAACTCAAAGGTTTTGAAAGATGCCAAGATGAATTCTTAGCTGTCGTATTTTGGAGTTTATTCCCACCCCCTTTTTCCTCTTTACTGGCTTCTCTGAACCACCATGGCAACCATTAAATCCCTAGCGAGGATGAAGCTTCACTTTCATAGCTCCGCCCAATTTTGCTCCATTCTTCCCCATAAGGCTGCAGTTGTCATGTGACGTCTTGGTTTTTGTGTGTATTTTGACCAAGCAGCTCTTCAAACTCGAGGATGTTATGAGTTAGATGAAGATGGGCAACCATTGTGGTTTGGTTGACTTCTGGTTGCCGTTCATTTTCATGTGTGCCCCGAGACAGCAAGGCCTGGACTGTAGGGCTGTTGCTTAGTGCACGTTAGCGACTTTCTTGGTCTTCATGTCATTATCACATCTAATTCTGCTTCCCCTTTTGCAGGCTCCCTGGGGAAGGGAATGCAGGGTTACTGGGGCTGGGCCCAGAGGCAGCAGCACCAGGGAAAAGGATTCGAAAGCCTTCTCTGCTGTACGAGGGATTCGAGAGCCCCACAATGGCTTCTGTGCCAGCTTTACAACTGACCCCTGCCAACCCACCACCCCCTGAGGTGTCCAACCCCAAGAAGCCAGGCCGGGTAACGAACCAGCTGCAGTACCTGCACAAGGTGGTGATGAAAGCTCTGTGGAAACACCAGTTTGCATGGCCCTTCCGGCAGCCTGTGGACGCTGTGAAGCTGGGTCTGCCGGTGAGTGAGAGAGAGAGCAAGCTAGGGTCTGCTCCGGGCAGGTGTGGGGCTGTGCAGGAATGTGTGCGTGCGTGCGTGCGTGTGCCTGGGTGAGTGTGTGTGTGCCTGGGTGTGGGCTACCTAGTGTAGGTGCTGCGGCCCCTAGGGAATCCCCATTCTCTTCAGGGCAAATAGCCACCAGGGTATTGGATTCTTGGTCCTTTGTGCTTGTTACCTCTATCTTGGCATCTCTCATTTTGCCTCCATGTGTCCCTTCCTTAACTTTTGTGCCCTGGCTCCATTTTACAGATTTCCCACCCCTGGTTGGGAGAGGACCACGGTGGCCAAAATTCTTAGCTTCTTCCTTTCCCTCATGCAGCCCATGGATAGCCATCCCCAGAGGTAATGTCACAGGACGGGAAGCTTCCAGAATGGGTGGGAGGTGGGTGGCTAGAGAAAGGCAGCAGGGACCTCCTTGTGGGAATTAGAAGATCCTGCTCTAGTTTTTCTAACCCAGAGTTCAACTGGGGCCGCAGTATGGGGAGTACTCCTTAGTGGTAGGTAGGGTGTGTGCGCGCGGCTGTATCTGTCTGCCTGCCTGTCAGTAGTTGCCCTAGAATAGGCGTTTTCCTGTGGTCTGACCTAGCGTATCTTTCTTCAGGATTACCACAAAATAATAAAACAGCCTATGGACATGGGTACTATCAAGAGGAGACTTGAAAACAATTACTACTGGGCTGCCTCAGAATGTATGCAGGACTTTAATACAATGTTTACCAACTGTTATATTTATAACAAGGTAAGTTTTGGCTTTTTAAGGTTTTTCTATTTCAATGGCAGCTAGTGACAGTCAGTACTGTTTGTTTCTGATGGGTTTTAGTTTCGTACTGCTGGAAATGCTGTCCGCTAGTCGAGGGCTGAGAGGAGCCTGACAGAAGTGCTGTAGTTAAAGGTTGTTAAGTAGAACACTTTCATATTTGAGGATGGTGGCTCTGTTTGTCAGAAAGCTCTACAGGCCTGTGAAGAGCGGGATCTAACTCATGAGCTCTGCAGTTTGGGGGTGACCTTGGCTCTAGTGATAGGGATGTGAACTGTGATGCCCTAGGGCTGGGGGTCCTTAAGAGATGGTAACTTAAGAACCTGCGTGTTTGTCCTGCAGCCCACCGATGACATTGTCCTAATGGCACAAACCCTGGAAAAGATCTTCTTACAGAAAGTGGCCTCAATGCCACAAGAGGAACAAGAGCTTGTGGTGACCATCCCTAAGAACAGCCATAAGAAGGGGGCCAAGTTAGCAGGTATGGACGGGGAGAGCTGTGCAGGTGGCATAAAGATGAGAACGTTGTGCAGGTGACAATGAGTAAAGCTTACACTTTTGTTTTTTTTTTTTTTTTAATCGTTCTTAGCACTCCAGGGCAGTATTACCAGTGCCCACCAGGTGCCTGCTGTTTCTTCTGTGTCGCATACAGCCCTGTATACACCACCGCCTGAAATACCTACCACTGTCCTCAACATTCCCCACCCGTCAGTCATCTCTTCTCCCCTTCTTAAGTCCCTACATTCTGCTGGGCCCCCACTCCTCGCTGTATCAGCAGCTCCTCCTTCTCAGCCCCTTGCCAAGGTAATAGAGCAGGTAGTGGGGGAACCTGGGAGGAAAGGGCGTTACTGGGAATGGACCCAGAGTGACACCCCCCCCCAACCTTTCTACAGAAAAAAGGCGTTAAACGGAAAGCAGACACCACCACCCCTACACCTACAGCCATGCTGGCTCCTGGCTCCCCAGCTAGTCCCCCTGGGAGTCTTGAGCCAAAGGCAGCCCGGCTTCCTCCTATGCGTAGAGAGAGTGGCCGTCCAATCAAACCCCCACGGAAAGACTTGCCTGACTCACAGCAGCAACATCAGAGCTCTAAGAAAGGCAAGCTGTCGGAACAGCTGAAGCACTGCAACGGTATCTTGAAGGAGCTGCTCTCTAAGAAGCACGCTGCCTATGCCTGGCCCTTCTATAAACCCGTGGACGCTTCTGCCCTCGGCCTCCACGACTACCACGACATCATTAAGCACCCCATGGACCTCAGCACTGTCAAGGTACCCACTGCACGGGGCAGATGGGAAGACGCGGTGCTCAGGGAGCAATAAAAATGAAGCGACACCCATGCGTCCTTAGGGCTCACTGCAGACTTGCGTTCTGGGTGTCTTGCTTTATAAAATTGTGCAAGACCACATACTGTGAGGTCCTTGTATTTTATTCGGCAGCACTAAGAGTTGGGTTATGGAGCTGTGATGTGGGAGAGGTGGCCGTGGTCACTTAGAAATGTTTTCTTCTAGACATAGATCTCTCTTCAAAACTACCCCAAATCCTTGGACTTCACACTTGAGCCCCAGGGCACAGATCCTTAAGGTCATCCCCACTGTTGCTCTTGAGTCGGGTTGGCAGGGAGAGAGGAGTTGCTGCGTGTGCAGCTTCTCACGCTGCCTCCTTCTGCAGCGGAAGATGGAGAATCGTGATTACCGGGACGCACAGGAGTTCGCTGCTGACGTGCGGCTCATGTTCTCCAACTGCTATAAGTACAATCCTCCTGACCATGATGTTGTGGTCATGGCACGGAAGCTACAGGTGAGTGGGCGACTTGTCGTGTGTTCACGCAGTATCCGGTTGTAGGGAGAGATTTAGTTTGTGTTGTACATTCAAACCATGGAAACTTGACCATGCTTTATCCTAAGTTAGAGCTAGTGTGCTGGGTGGCTGGGCATTAAACAGGGTTCTGAGTCAGTCCCCCCGTCTTTAGGATGTGTTTGAGTTTCGCTATGCCAAGATGCCAGATGAGCCGCTGGAACCGGGGCCTTTACCTGTGTCTACCGCCTTGCCTCCTGGGTTGGCCAAGTCATCCTCAGAGTCTTCGAGTGAGGAGAGCAGTAGTGAGAGCTCCTCTGAGGAGGAGGAAGAGGAGGATGAAGATGATGAGGAGGAGAGCGAAAGCTCGGACTCTGAGGAAGAAAGGGCCCATCGCCTGGCAGAGCTGCAGGAGCAGGTGTCGCATTGGGCTTTGGTATGGTAAGAGCCTGGGCCTGTTGGTCCCAATTGTGTTTCTTGATCTTAATTGACTTTGTTTTGTCTTCTTCTTTTCCTGTGTAGCTTCGGGCAGTCCATGAACAACTGGCTGCCCTATCCCAGGGCCCAATATCTAAGCCTAAGCGCAAGAGGGAGAAAAAGGAGAAGAAGAAGAAACGGAAGGCAGAGAAACATCGGGGCCGAGTTGGGATGGATGAAGATGAGGGGCCTCGGGCGCCTCGCGCACTTCAGCCCAAGAAACCTAAGAAAGCAGGGGGTGGCGGGGGTGGCGGTGCTGCTGCGCTAGGCCACCCTGGCTTTGGGACTTCTGGAGGCAGTAGCAACAAGTAAGTCTGAAGGACGGCGCCTATCACAGGGGCGCTGTGTAAGTCAGTGTCCTTAGTAAGCTCACTGGCAGTTTTATTCTCTTGCCTATAGGCTGCCTAAAAAGGCCCAAAAGACAGCCCCACCTGTCCTGCCAGCTGGTTATGATTCGGAGGAGGAGGAAGAAAGCAGGCCCATGAGTTACGATGAAAAGAGGCAGTTAAGCCTGGATATCAATAAGTTACCCGGGGAGAAGCTAGGTCGAGTTGTACATATCATCCAAGCCAGGGAGCCCTCTTTACGTGATTCAAACCCAGAAGAAATTGAGATTGACTTTGAAACACTCAAGCCATCCACACTTAGGGAGCTTGAGCGATACGTTTTATCCTGCCTTCGAAAGAAACCCCGGAAGCCCTACAGTGAGTATCCAATGAGGTTGGCTGTTGACCCTGCGGTTCTGAGGACAGCAGAGGGGTGGGGTGGGGTGGGTGTTCGTGATGGGCCGCTTCCTGTTCAGGAATGGAACTTGGCAGCTCTTGGATGACTGAAGGCAGTATATAGCGAATCTCCTGACGTTTCCTCCTCTAGCCATTAAGAAACCTGTGGGGAAGACAAAGGAGGAGCTAGCCCTGGAGAAGAAGCGGGAACTAGAAAAGCGGTTGCAAGACGTCAGTGGACAGCTTAACTCCACCAAAAAACCTCCCAAGAAAGGTGAGTCTCTGCAGCCTCTCCACTGCTTTAAGTTGAACACTGAGGCAAATGAGTGTTCTGTTGACAAAGTACATGTTACCTTTCTGTACAGCGAACGAGAAAACAGAGACGTCGTCTACGCAGCAAGTGGCAGTGTCCCGGCTCAGCGCTTCCAGCTCCAGCTCAGATTCCAGCTCCTCGTCCTCGTCTTCATCTTCTTCAGACACCAGCGATTCGGACTCGGGCTAAGGGGCCAGGCCAGATGGGAAAGGAAGGCTCGGCAGGACCGGACCCCTGTACCACCCTTCCCCACCACTTCCCCTTGCTGTGACACTTCTGCATCTCATCCCTCCATAGGAGAGCTGGCTCTGCAGGGGGGAGGAAAGCAGGGACATGGACAAACGAGACTGACTTGAAGCCCTACTGGGAACCACCCGAGGGTGGAGTGTCCCTGTTCAGGATGATGGGGGTGGGGCAAGGGTATGGGTGGGAGTGGGCATAGGCCTGGCACAAGGCCTCCTGAGGCCGCAGCTGTCCTGTTCACTTCTAAGGGCCCTGTTTTGAGGTTTTAATTTATTGAAGCTAGGTGAGGCTGAGGGGGAGCACCACGGCCCTCCCTCCAGCCTCCATGGGAGGGAAGGAGAGGGAGCTCCTTTTTTTACGTTGACTTTCTTTTCTACTCTTCCCTTTCCCTTCACTCCATCTGGGGCCTGGGGATTTTAGTCACCTCTCCATTTGGCCCCCTGGACTACCTTTTCTTTCTCTTGATTCTAACTTGTAAATAAAGAAGATATTATTGAAGTTTTGAGTTAGTTTTCTTAGTGAGATTTGTTCCTGTGGGATTCAGAGTATTGCTGGGAGGCTTGTTCTCTGGGGTACAGTGGATCAGTCTCAGGCCTGCCGAGCGTCACCATTAGTTGTAATCCCCCAACTGGCTCCTGTGTCTGTCTTTGGAGTGCGTGGTCTTGAACATGCTGGACAAGTAAGGACCACCACTGAGTACACCCTTATTGGTTGCTGTGCTACAGTAGATGCCACTGAGTGGAAAGGTGAGGGGCATTTGGATTAACTAACTCCAGAGTTTAAAACTAGGCGAGGAAGAGGTAGGCCATAAAGTCCTTGATGCTTGGTGTTTTTCTAGACACAACTAACAGCAGGGGAGTAGTTTTTAGCAGGCTGAGTTTCAGCTAGGTTATAAGGCATTTATATCTGCCTTATATGAGCTGGCCGCACCTTAAAATTTTTGATGTTTCAAGTCCATAGTCCCAAGTTGAGGAACTGGTGTTTATGAAAAGGGCTCTGGTACAGTAAAGAGGTCATTATACCAAAAGAGATTGAACAGTAGAGGCTTCCAAAGGTGAGTCCAAAACAGTGAAGAAATTGTTTCTGCCACTGTGGTGTGACCAGCAGCCACGTTACACCTGGAAGTGGAGATAGATAGGAAAACAGCAATGACACAGGACTCCTGAGCAACAGTTTGGGTGGAGGTGGTGAGAAAAAACAGTGGTGGTTTGCATCCTGTAAGAGCAGGAAAACCAACTGGGTAAATTAGCTGATGGTTTCCAACTCCACTGCTGAACCCTAGGGATAACGCTCAATTCTGAAGTCAGTGATAAAGAGTTAGAAGGGTTTTCTGTGAGGAGGAGGAGGTGGTAAAGGAATTGCATTTAAGGTTTAGAAATGGCTTGTTGATCGTTTTATCCCCCTACTCTGCTCATAGACTGATGGTTGACTTCTGGTATGTTATACCTCTTTAAAACGAATGCCAACTACTTAAGAGCAGAACTAAGAAAGGGCAGAAACCTGTGCAGTGCTGGGAGGTTCACTGCCCTTCTGGACAGGCCAAAGGTCCTGCTATCCCCCAGATGTTGTGCAAGTGTCTGGACTTGCGTATTTCCCCTAGATAAGCAGGCCTGCCACCCTGGTGTGCATTGGAAAACCCCCACGATGGGCTAGAGATTGCTATGTGTAGTGGCTGAGGGGCAGGTTGGCCTGGGATGGAGGTAGAGCTGATCCTATACAAAGGCCCCTTGAGCTTGTTCCTCAGTGTGCACACTAGAAGGACTAACATTGGAAGGCTGTAAACACCAGGTATAAGGGGTGAGACATCACAGGTGTCTGTGACCAGGAGGAGGAACTGAAGATGGCAGAGGAAAGGGCCATAGAGGGCAAAGTCGCCAAAGCAGCACAAGTCATCGTGGTGGCAGCTCAATAAAAAGGGTGGTTTAGCCAAGGTCACTGCTTAAGGGTTTGCATTTTTCTCCAAATACTGGTAGTTCACATTTTGTGTGCCAAGCATTGGGCCCAAAACTTGGTTGTCATGGTAACCTTAGATGGGATTCCAGGCACAAGATGCAGCTTGCCCTGTATCAGCTTGGCAAGGCAGCCTGGCTTCAGAATCTACTGCTGTGCACTAACACTTAAGCTGGACATGCTAAATCTCTGCTACTCAGATTGAGGCAGCAGATCAAAGCTAATCTTAGGACATTGGAACAGCTATTCCACCAGGTTGAATGGGAAGAGGCAGGCCTGTGGTACTTACCCGAGGGGAGGATTTGTGGTGCTGTCTGTTGGCCATGCTTGTGAGCTTGTGACTTCCACTTGAATCTTTTTCTGAGAAGGTAGATGGAGAGGATCCCTGCAAAGTGACCATCTCCTTGCCTATATCTTATTTCTTGTTTCTATCCAGTTTCTCATTAATAATACTAGACAAAAGACACCCTCTCTCTGTTTTGGAAATTTTTAGGTTTTCCAGACAGGGTTTCTCATCACACAGGAAGGCTGTCCTGGAACTCATTCTGTAGACCAGGCTGGCCTCGAACTCAGATCCACCTGTCTCTGCCTCCCGAGTGCTGGGATGAGTTTGCTTGTTTTCAGTTGAGATACAGCCACATGGGAATGAAACAGCATGTGGCATCTTTACCAGTAATGGGAGAATGATGGTTAATTCTTCAGAAACAGAGTTGCCTACGATATGTCTCTCCTGGGGTGGGAGGTGGGGTGGTCTGCTCTCCCTTCCCAAATGCAAGTGTAGGGTCACACATGTGCCACTCGGTCCTATATTCCTGATTTGGGGGAGCGTAATGCCGAGGGTGGTTCTAGCTTCTGATTGTGCCCGTGACTTTCCAGAACTAACCATCTGTATAAGTTTCTGATGTCAGATCCATGCCTCAGCCCTGAGAGTGTCTGTCTCTAAACCTCTGCTTACACTGCACTCTGCTCCAGACGGCTTTTCACCAAGTGGCGTTAGTCACACATCTGTTACGGACACCCATCACCTGTCTCCCTCAGGCTAGCCTCAGTAGTCCTCTCAGCAAAACAGAGCTCCACCCTGGTTTTCCCCAATGTCTTTCCAAGAGAAAACTCAGGTCAGGGAAAGAATAAGAAACCGAGGCAGCAGCTGAGGCACGACAGAGAGCAGCTGTGCAAGTGGAAGCCGAGGGTAGTTGATACAGCAGCCTGCACTGAAGGCTCCTGTCCTGATCACTGGAGTACAGTGGCGTCTATAAACAAAGGGTGCTGTAGAAGTATCCAGGAAGCCGAGTGGGGGGGAGAGAGAGAGAGAGAGAAAGAGAGCTCTAACTGCTGTTGCTGGCCATCTGGGGGGGCAAGGGACTACCAGTGGTTGAACTATAGACTATAGAAAAGGGCTAACCCGGGTCTCAGTGAATTTCCCAGGCTGGCCTTGAGTCTCCTGTGATTCTATTGCCTTCGCCTCCCTGGTGACTGGGATTAGAGACCTGCCTGCCAGGCAGTCCATGGTTACTTTCTGTAGCTAACATCAATGTACAAAGCCCCACTTTAGAGACAAGGAAACACTTAAGTGGGCAAGTCATTTTCTGTATCAGAACTTTCTGCCCCAGATATAAGCAAAAAAACACTGAGATTCAGGGCAGGGGCAGGTTGTGGGGGTGGTGTGGCTAGAGAGACACAGTCTGTTTAATTACAGTCGTGTGTGGGGGGTGGTGGAGGTGAAGGTTGGAATCATTGAAGGAATCGGTTTTTCCCTGTGTGGGTCCCAGAGATAAGGGTACCAGACTTGGCAACTAGCATCCTGCTGGCCCTCCAAATAGTGTTGTGTGGGGTCAGGACTTTTCACCAAGCCCAGTTAATTGAACTTAGCTAACAAACTATTAAGCAGGAAGGCACAAACAGAATGGACTTGTTCTACAAGCATCGCTGAAGAAGCCCCCTTTGATGCTTCAGCTCGGCTGTAGGAAGTCGTAGTAAGATCTGGGGAACATTGTGCCTTTGCTATTAATTTTTGTTAATCCTGTTGGTTTTCTGATTAGAATTGGCGATATAAATCTCAAACATAGAAAAGGAATTAGGCCAGGCAGTGGTGGCATATGTGTTTAAACCCAGCACTTGGGAGGCAGAAACCATGTCTTGAAAAACCAAAACAAACAAAAAGAAAAGGAATTAGAACTCAGTTGCAGAAAAAAATCATTTGATGTGCATATTTAATTAATGAAATTAAAGGTATTTCCTCCTGTTTAAGGCAAAAATAAAATTATTACAAAATTGTTAAAGTCAACACTGTATGTCTTAACCAATTTACCTATCCCACAGTAATGGTCTTAAATGAGATAAAAGTCTAGACAAAGAGTTCAAAATGGTTATAATCTATTCAGGGATTTAAACTAGACATTTCAACATGTCAGAGCTCAGTGGGAAGAGCCCATATACAGGCTGGGACACCGGTTCTGGAACATACGGCAAAGGATTTTTCCCATCTAGGAAATGGTAGATTTTGAGAAACACCTGAGTGGAACATGTGAGCTCTTTGGGACACCATAAAAAGACCAGACCTATAAAGTGTGGACATGGAGAATTCCATACCAAAAGCATAGAAAATATCTTCAATAAAATCTGTAAGAGAAGGCGGGGCGTTGGTGGCGCATGCCTTTAATCCCAGCACTCGGGAGGCAGAAACCCTGTCTGGGGGGGAGGGGGAGAGAAACAAACAAAAAAAATCTGTAAGAGAAATTCCCAGCTTGAGAGGAAAAAGATCCCCATCCAGATACAAGAGATGACAGACGCCAAATAAATGAGAAAAACTCCTGTGTCGGCGTGGTCAAATCACTAAACAGACCAGAGAATGAACACTGAAAGTTGGAAGAGAGGGGGGCTGTCAGAACAGCAGCGGATTTCTTTTCCAATGGAAACTGAAAGAATGTCACAGGGTGTTCTGAGAAACCGCAGCTGCCACCCTAGACGACCATACCAAGCCAAATTACAACTGAGGGAGGAATGAACCTGCCCCTCATAAAAACAGACTGAAGGAACTTAGGACACACAGCCAGCTCTGCAGAGCTCATTAGAGCACTGTCCACGGAAAAGGAGGGCATCTAAGGGGCCATGAGGCTAAGAGCACGGCCACGGAGCCAACAGCAGGACTCACAGTGACAATCACGGATCCTGTATGGGTTTGAGCTAGGTCCTCAGCGTATGTTATGGTTGCTTAGCTTGGTGTTCTTCTGGGACCCCTAACAGTGAGTATCTGGCTTTTTTGCCTGTGCTTGGGTTGTCTCACCCAGCCTTGATGTGAGGGTTTGTGCCTAGTCGTTTTTTAATTTGTTACATCTTTTAATTTGATATCCCTGAAAGGCCTGCTTTTTTTTTTTTAATGGGTGGTAGGAGCCAGAGCAAGGAACGGTTGGTACCTGGGCGGAATGGTAGGACACAGCAAGCAGCTGGATTGTGGCAGTGTCTAATCTGTTTTGTTTCAGTGAGTGTTTGCCCCTATCTTATACCTAAATAAATTCTTGAGACCCTTTAATGGACTCTTGTCTGTTAAAGAGTGGA